GGGGGGGGGGGGGGGGGGGGGGGGGTTGTCACAAAAAGAGCACGAAAAAACGATGAGTGCGCTCGCGATACGGGCATTTATCCTCCCCAAGATCAAAAAGTAAGAAACAATGCTAAAGGTACAACAAATAGTCGTTTCGTTTCACTTCCAAGACATTGGGGTCGTAAAGAAAGGTGGCTTACACTACTCGTTTCGGTTGAGCCACGAATAAAAAGTCGCTCTCCGAAATCCGAAAAGCCATTCCAAAACTAAATCGCGCGGGGGTAAGCGAGGACGATCGGTCCTACTGGTGCCGCTGCACTTATTGGCAAGCGGTTGATGGGCGACTGATTTAACACGGACGGTAACAAGCTACTCGTACAGATTTGCCGACTCTTACCCGCTGGAGCGTTGACAAGCGCGCGCCCCTGGCCATAATTTTACTTTCAGAAGCGTTGATGATGTACAATACAGAACACAGCACCAAGTATTCGAGCATGCCTTACAAAAAAGGACTTGATCCAGTTCCCATCACAACCAACAGCAGCAGCAGCAGCAGCAGCAGCAGCAACAGCAACAGCAACAGCAACACGTCCACTACCACCCGCAACACACACACCTCCTTGACCACTCCCAGAGTTCTCGTCAACGACGCCAGCTTAGCGCTTGTCGCTTGCACGCGTTGCTCCGCCTGAGCTGCCACTGCCGCAGCAGCAGCCGCGTTGGGAGCGGCAGCGCCAGCAGCAGCCTCTCCTTCCGCCGGATACGGGGCTTGGGCACGCCTGTTGTCATTGTTGTTTGTTGCGGCAGTGACCTCAATGCTGGTTTTAGTGGCAGTTTTTGTTTATTTTTTTGTTGTTGTAGCTGTTGAAAACTGCTCTTGCTCTGGTTGTTGCATGGAGGGGGGGGGGTGGTGCCGGGGAGAGATTTCTATCTCGAACATGCACGTATGTACCTGGAAACCTCGACGGCAGCGTCCCTCCTCTTCTTGAGGTCGTCCAAGGTCAGAACCAGGGAGTTGTGCTCCTGCACCATCTTCACCAGACGAGCCTCCGCCGCCTCGGAGCTGCGCCGAGCGCTGTCGAGGATTGTCACAAAGTGTCTGCCCGTCGCCGCCTTGGCAAACAACAGCATGAAATTTGGGGGGGG